CCCTTCTCAATGCGCACCCACTCGCACCCTGACTCTTTGACGCAAGACTTACAGCAAAAGGGGGCCCCGGGGGCACACTGCTCGCCCGCGCCAACCCCACCAGGCCCGACGTCATCCTCATCCAAGAAGCGTTGCGCTCACTTGCAAGTTTCCTCATCACGCAAGCTCTATATTCCCTATCACGCAAGCTCTATATACCCCTTGCAAGGCACGCCTTGCTTGTCGATCCAAGTCCAGCAGCGATCGAGCTTAGCGCATTCTCATTCTGATTCATATTCTTCGACTCTTGACTCGTGACTTTCGATTCCGATTCGCGCGCGCGCAACATGCGCTCATCACCCCCACTTAGACTCTGACTTTCCTTTCTCGACGACTATATGTATACGTCACCGTCGCACAGCCCAGTCCAGGGCCAGCGCCGACGCCGACGCCCACTTGCATGCATGCATGAACGCACATATATGCGTGGAAGGCGCCGCGGTGCTTGCGCGGATGTTTCAGCAGCTGCGCTCACGGCTCGTATACGTCGCGCGATGCGCGCGCGCGCACGCACGCACGCACGCGCCCCCACCCTTTTCCAACAATTAAACGCCGAGATTGTGCGCGTTGCTTGATGATTCCTGATTGTTGTGAAGGAAGAGAGGAACTCGCTCGCTCGCTCGTGATTGGGGACGGGGCATCTTCAAGAGGGTTTAGGTATTCGTGATTGGGTCGAATTGAAAGAGTCCACTTGAGCGGCGGACGGACTGGCATGAGATGGAGAGGTTCGGAGATTGTGCACCCCGGGCCCCTCCAGACTCACGTCCCATCTGTATGCTGCCAACTGATTGTCTGAATCGTGTGATCTGTCCCATGTGCCATGCCTGCCTATGCGATACGAGAAGTTGCTCGCACGCACGCAGGCACGCACGCGCACGCTCCTGCGCCCCCGCGCCGCGCTTTCTCAACAAACGCCGAGATTTTTAGCGCGCATGCGCATCAACACATCACGCGCGTTCAGACCTTGCTTGCTTTGATGCGATTTGTGAAAATTCGTGCGTCGTGATCGTGATCGTGGAGAAAGGCAAGTTTCATTCAGATTCGTGATCGGGGCATGCGAGTTGCGTTGGTCGGTTCGGGTCTCGCTGGTGCACCCTAGCTGACCACCTCGCAGCCTTCCTCACCTGCAAGTCGTGAGTGTGCGTGTGAGCGCGTGTCTTGGCAACATCGGATCTTGCAGACGCAAAGTGACCGGATCGTACAGATGTAACGTCCCCATCAGGTGCGCGTCGAAATGTCTGCGATGTGACCCTTCGCTGCGAGCAAGTTCTCGCAAAGTCTGCCTCGATATATAAGTACACGCTCACACACGAGATCTCCCATGACGACGGAGACACTACCACCACCAACGGATCCCGAGCCAACTAACACATCAATACCTTCATCCCGCCCGCCGTACTCACCCGTCACCAGCAGCGACTAGCACTGACGATGTCGAGCAGGTACGCGCACATCAGCACAAAATCCTCGAGTAGCTATGACGGTGTCGCGCAAGAGGAGGCGCCGCTGCAAGCACCGCCCGACACTCGAGGCAGGCCATATCGAGCGCTAGGATGGGTGTTGATCAAAGGAGTAGGCTTGACCCTCGCCCTCCTCTTACCGCTCTGCTTGCTGTTCTGGTACATTTATGCGCACAACGATGCCGTCACGCTTGGCAAGTACGTCTTCACCACTGCACCCGTGCACGAAATCCTCACCGTCAGTCAGATCACTAGCAAAGTAGCAGAGAAAATCGTCGTGCCAGGTGAGTCGCGCCGCCGGCCTGACTGCGAGTCTGCAAGTGGGAAGAACAAAGAAAGGTGGTCTAAACTCGGTCATTCACACTTCGAAGGTCATGTCATCGGTGATGGTGGTGGAGAAGGAAGATTGGATGTGTGCACGCTGGTGTTTACATGCGCATGCATGAGGCGCGTCACGGTCCGCTGACAGCATACTACTGTACACCTACTCCACGACTAGCCATGGCGGTGTTTGCTTACTTTTGCGCAGCTGACTGGCTGCGAGGTAGCCAAAGCGGCGACGCGACGTTACCAACTCCATTGCAGTGAGTCGTAGAAGCGCGTGTCCTCTTGTCATACTTTCTCTTGCTCAAATCACCCCTGTTTCCCCGTGCTCTTCTTGCAGGTTCGGAATCTTGCAAGTCGTTCTGGGCTCTGCAAATTGGTTTGCTTCGTACGATGGCGCGCTTTACATGCTCGGACGAAGCGGTCACTCTCGTCGTCCTAGAGCACCGCCCTTTATCGCGATGTCGGTCATTCTGCTCCTTTGGTTGTTGACACTCGAGGCACTAGCGTTCTTTGCAGACGTCGCTTTTCACCAAACTACCGTCAATGCCGTCTTTAGCCTTCCTCCCACTTCTTCGGAACGCGTGGCACTCGCAGATGCTCGCGCGCTAGTGGGCGACCTTCCGCCGCTCGACTGGACCGTCGATCCCGACACCATAACCGTGTCCAGCAACGATTCGGCAAACGCACGCGCGCAACTCGCCAGTCCAAACGCTGCGGCCATGCTCTTGGGGCGTCGAGTCAACGAGACGGAGTGCGCTTCGTGGTCGCGACGGCATGCCCTCGGCTTGGATTTGAGCGCCAAAGATAGCTGCGGCCTTTCCGAGTAAGTCGAACCGTGCGCTAGACGAGTGTGGTGCGCGCGCGCACTGGCTGATGAGCTGGGCCCGCAACGCAGCGGATCGACCTATGGCAATTATGGTCAGTGGGCGCCCGAAGGCCAGCGAACGTTTGCGAACTCGTCTGCATTGCAAGCTGTGGCGTGGACAGACGATGCGCACTCTATCATCGTTGCGGCCGCGCAGCCCAAGTTTTCATACACTGCAATTGCATCAGGCGTCAAGGCGACCTGCGCATCCATCACGTCTGAATGCACTCAGTGCTATCGGGAGGACTACAGTGGACCTCCTTGTGGACCTGTAGGATTCCTCAATTTGAATTGCAACGGCCCACATGCATACAATGGCACTGCCCGCGAGACGGGCTGGCTAAACGTCGATGGTGACGTCAGGGGTAGCAGCGCTGTGCCAGCGTCAAAGTGAGTCGCTGTGGCCGCGATTCGTTGCTCTATAAGTGCAGTCGCGGACTCTCTCAGGAAGCTGCAGGCCAAGCAAAGCTGAACCAAAAAGATTGCCGATTCGTTTCTTCTCAGCCCCCTGCGCTGGGGCACAATTGTCATCTCGCAAGCTTACCTCGACTACAAAAATGGTCGTGGGACCGCAACGCATGACAACACAACGTGAGTGAGGGTTACCCTGCGTACTAGCGAGCCAGCGGGCGACGTCTGACGTACAGCGCCTTGCACCTGTAGAGGCTTTGTCGTCTGGGGAAATGTCGGCGCTACGAACGTCTTGCACTGCGAGCTGGCAGTTCGTCTCGTCACGTATCGCTTCGAGCCCCCTAGCACGTACACGACGCTGGACACTCACGATGTCTCTCCAGAGGCAGCTCAGCGATTCACCAGAACAACGTGAGTCGTATGGCGCGGCAAGCAGGGCACACGTGCTGAAATTGGGCTCGCACTGTGATGCCATGGCAGGGCATTGTTCGATGTGGGTGGACGGGCAGACCTGATCGGAACCATGATCAACGGTGCAGGTCAGCTGGCATCGGACCCGTATCCAGAGGTGTACGGCCGCACGCTATCGCGCTACATTATGGCTTATTCAGGAATAATGATGGCAAGCACACCAGTGTCTACACTCGAGGGACGACCCGTCGCAGGGACGCGGATACATCTGGGAGTTTTTGGTTTCTACGCAGCCGTCATCTTCGTCGAGGTCATTACCGTCTGTTGGATCGCCATCGTAGCTTTCGTGTACACGTGGAACATCAACGACATGAGCGTGCGAGCCGTGCGAAAAAGGATCACGGCACCGTTTGGCCTCATTTGTCAATTTTACGGCGTGCCCAGAAGACCGCGCACGGAAAGCGGAGTGGAACAGAAAAAGGCCTTCTTTACCGAGGACAATCTGCAACTCTTCGAGCCCGAAGCCGACAGCGGGGCGACTGGACTGAAGCTGCGCAAGGCGCTTTACACTGCCCCCGTAGGTGCAAGAGGCCTGGCACACGACGACACTTGGAACTTGATCGTGGACTAGGAAAATGCAATGATTTTGTTTTTGCCCCTCGCGGCGCTCTTGTCGGAGGGCTTTTCAGGAGTGAGCCTTCCGAGTGAAGACGGTGTGCGCGGGGTGAATGGGGGCGCCATGGGAATGTCAATGTGCTTTCGGCGGTGTGCGTTGTGGAGGTTAGGGTTAGGGTTAGGGTTAGGGTTAGGGTTAGGGTT